GTCACTGTGGATGAAATGTCACTATTTGTATTTGCTCCACGGATGTTCTGGTGTTCAGCGTCAGTCGCATTCGATCTACCAATCCCTGTGTTTATTGCTTTTATCAAATCACTGTAAATGTAATATAATAGTCGTTATGATATGGATGCTAAAAGTTAAAATTATTGATTTGTATGATTTGATTTGTCTGTAATAATTTGTTTTTCTTTCGACACAGTATTTGTGGAGTTGTATCGTATACATTAATGTATGTTCTGTAGCCTTTATAGTGCAGTAATGTTCAAACTACTTCCATCCATCCATCCATCATCAACCGCTTATCCTGCGTACAGGGTCGCGGGGGGGCTGGAGCCAATCCCAGCTGGCAATGGGCGAAAGGCGGGGTACACCCTGGACAGGTCACCAGTCCATCGCAGGGCCTGTTCAAACTATTTGTTTGTCTTTTTTCTTACATTCTGATCTATTATAAGTACATTGCAAAACTTGTACAATAGTATTTGGCAATAAAGGAAATTTTAATGTGAAAATTAGCTCCACGTTTGCAACTATAACATAAAATGCAGTTTACATTATTATCCAATGATATGATACATATAATATGTATATAATGAAGGAAATTGGTTTAATAATATTTACTTTGTTGCTAATACATGTACTTTTTCTTAAGTGGAACTTTCAGTGCAATATTTACTTCTTCTTAACCTTTATTTAACTAGGAAAGTCACACTGAGGTTAAAACCTCTTTTACAAGTGAGACCTAGTCAAGACAGGGTCAGATAGTAGGATCAAACAGATAACCAAGCAACAATAAGAAGGTACATCAGGTACAACAGAAAACACAGCAAAACAAGTCTCCACAACAACATTTTGTACAACACCGAGACACGGTATTACATAATACCCTACATAGTACTGTTCACAAAAACAACATTATTAGATCATAGATTTAATAAGGAGTTAAGTGGTAATAGAACTGTCAAAGCAGCTGCAGTTAGCAGTGACCACCTCCTTTATTCTATGTTTAGAGAGATGAGGGATTGACGTTTGAGCTTGGTCTGCACATCATTCCAAGACCAGGGGCCATAATAGAGCAGGCTTAGCTTTCCAGCCTCTGTTCTGATAGCAGGCACTTGGAACTGTAGCCTGTTATGTGACCTGAGATTATAACTTTGAAAAGGTAAAAATTGTCCTGTTTAAATAATTTGGAAGTTTACCTAAAATTATCTTATAAATTAAAACATACCAATGTTCAAGCTTGCGCAAGTGAAGAGATGACCATCCCACCAATCTGTACTGTAAACAATGATGTGTCCTAAAACTATAGTTAGTGACATATCTAAGAGCTGAGTGACAAAGGGGCTCAAGTTTGGACAAAGTGGACAGAGAGGCAAACCTGTAGATAGTATCCCCATAGTCAATCTGTGACAGAAAAAGGCCAGCAACTATGCGTCTTCGTGAAGCCATGGAGAAACAGGACTTGTAATGGTTGATTTTTACATCGTAAATTTCTGCTTTACTTTAGCTCAAGTAAAGAATACTTGTTCCATTATATTCTAAATGTGATTGGTTTTCTCAATAACAAAAACATGAAATCTCCAATTTTGTAGATGTTTCTGAGGTCATAGTAATACAGTTTGTGATATGTCTTTCGGTAAAGTAAATCATATATAACATCATTTGTTGAGCACTTTGATTCAGAGTAAACAGGGCATGCCATGGAGGACTACCTACATCATTGAAGCGTTGCAGGAGACCACCTGCAGGATCAGGGCAGCCTGTCTCATATGCACTCCAGTAAGCGATGTTCATCTGTCTGTGCCGATATGTAAACTTTCCTCTTTCTCCCTTTCCTCCAAGCAGCTCTACATGATACATGAAGTGCCATGTGGCAGGCCTGGCGCAGAGACAAATGCCAACGACTTGCTCTTCCAAATGTCAAATCTGACATGTCACAGACATTCAATAACCATCCCTGCTGGACCCATTCTGAGCCACGCTCTTTAAACAGTCCCTGATGTCCCATGACGAGAGTAGAGGGGAAATGGCTGGATTTTTATCTGCCTGTGGGTATGAGATCACATAAGACACCTTGTCTCGATGTCTTCACTTCAGTGAGACCTCTAGAGATGATGATTTATTTTGTACACAAAGTCCTTCTGGTCATCAGCAAAGGAACAGTCAAGAGATCAGCTGAAGTTAAAATAAAACAGCCCTCAACCAATAAAGGAAAGAGTTTCCATAAACTAATAGTAACCTTGATTAAAATGATAAAATGCTGTTTTGACTACACCCTGTTCACCATTGTAAATGACCAATAAATATCATAGGATATACTTCAGGTGTATGCTTCACTTCTACTATCCAGGCCCACAGTGCATTATGTACATTAACACATCCATAGCGCATGGTAGGTCTGGACAATATGACTGATTATTTTGATATTGCAAAATGGCTTTACGAAAGGATTTTATTCTAAGTCTAATCACAAATTACCTGTGAAGGCAGGCCAGTGAAAATAGTGTTTTAAGATTTAAGCATTTTAAATATGTATTCAAACCAGTTAAGAGGACTGGTGGGTCAAAAAGTTGCAAAGATATACAGTATATATGCATGTATATACAGTACATTTATGAGTGGCTTTTTATTGTGGCCAGCCTAAGGCACACCTGTGCAATAGCCATGCTGTGTGATCAGCATCCTGATATACCACACCTGGATGGATTATCTCAGCATAGGAGAAGTGCTCATTTACACAGATTTTGACAGATTTGTGAACAATATTCGAGAGAAATAGGCCTTTTGTATACATAGAGAAAAACTTCTTGAACTTGAGTTCAGCTCATGATGAATGGGGGCAAAAACAAAAGTGTTGTGTTTATAATTTTGTTCAGTGTATATATATTCCCGTTAGGATCCCAGTAATTAGAACTAATTTTTGGTTCTTTATCCAAGGTTTATGCTAGTACATATATTAATTTGATAGAAACATACTTTATTAAGTTAATCTATTTTTTATTACTAGACAGTGTGCAGACGTTTTCTTTGCAAATATGTATTTAAAAAAAAACAAAATTAAGAAATATTAACTGAATTTCACTTTGTTTGGCAGCAACATTTACAACAACTAAACAAGCAAACTAAACAAAAGTCAAACACACTATCAGGAATGTTTGTTTTTTTCCAGTATCACCAAAATCACTAACCTATGTTAGTTTAGCGATTTATAAAAACACCACACATAATGACTGACAGAAATTCCCCTATTACATATACAGCATACAGGTGCTGGTCATATAATTAGAATATCATCAAAAAGTTGATTTATTTCAGTAATTCCATTCAAAAAGTGAAACTTGTATAATGTATACATTCATTCAACACAGACTGATATATTTCAAGTGTTCATTCCTTTTAATTTTGATGATTATAACTGACAACTAATGAAAACCCCAAAATCAGTATCTCAGAAAATTAGAATATTGTGAAAAGGTTCAATATTGAAGACACCTGGTGCCACACTCTAATCAGCTAATTAACTTAAAACACCTGCAAAGGCCTTTAAATGGTCTCTCTGTCTAGTTCTGTAGGCTACACAATCATGGGGAAGACTGCTGACTTGACAGCTCTCCAAAAGACGACCATTGACACCTTGCACAAGTAGGGCGAGACACAAAAGGTCATTGCTAAAGAGGCTGGCTGTTCACAGAGCTCTGTGTCCAAGCACATTAATAGAGAGGCGAAGGGAAGGAAAAGATGTGGTAGAAAAAAGTGTACAAGCAATAGGGATAACTGCACCCTGGAGAGGATTTTGAAACAAAACCCATTCAGAAATGTGGGGGAGATTCACAAAGAGTGGACTGCAGCTGGAGTCAGTGCTTCAAGAACCACCACGCACAGACGTATGCAAGACATGGGTTTCAGCTGTCGCATTCCTTGTGTCAAGCCACTCTTGAACAAGACACAGCGTCAGAAGCGTCTCGCCTGGGCTAAAGACAAAAAGGACTGGACTGCTGCTGAGTGGTCCAAAGTTATGTTCTCTGATGAAAGTAAATTTTGCATTTCCTTTGGAAATCAAGGTCCCAGAGTCCGGAGGAAGAGAGGAGAGGCACAAAAGTCCAGTGTAAAGTTTCCACAGTCAGTGATGGTTTGGGGTGCCATGTCATCTGCTGGTCTTGGTCCACTGTGTTTTCTGAGGTCCAAGGTCAACGCAGCCGTCTACCAGGAAGTTTTAGAGCACTTCATGCTTCCTGCTGCTGATCAACTTTATGGAGATGTAGATTTCATTTTCCAACAGGACTTGGCACCTGCACACAGAGCCAAAGCTACCAGTACCTGGTTTAAGGACCATGGTATCCCTGTTCTTAATTGGCCAGCAAACTCGCCTGACCTTCACCCTATAGAAAATCTATGGGGTATTGTGAAGAGGAAGATGTGATACGCCAGACCCAACAATGCAGAAGAGCTGAAGGCCACTATCAGAGCAACCTGGGCTCTCATAACACCTGAGCAGTGCCACAGACTGATCGACTCCATGCCACGCCGCATTGCTGCAGTAATTCAGGCAAAAGGATCCCCAACTAAGTATTGAGTGCTGTACATGCTCATACTTTTTATGTTCCTACTTTTCATTTGTCCAACATTTCTAAAAATCCCTTTTTTGTATTGGTCTTAAATAATATTCTAATTTTCAGAGATACTGAATTTGGGATTTTCGTTATTTTTCAGTTTTAATCATCACAATTAAATGAAATAAACATTTGAAATATCAGTCTGTGTGTAATGAATGAATAGAATATCCAAGTTTCACTTTTTGAATGGAATTACTGAAATAAATCAACTTTTTGATGATATTCTAATTATATGACCAGCACCTGTATAACAGTATTTTGATAATCTAACTAGGGGTGCTGAATTACTTTCCTACTCATCGTGATCAACGTGACACTGGATTTCTTGATTTTTTTTCCAAGGTACTTTCATTAAAAATAAATAGGCTGACATACTTTTCTATGAGCATTCTGATTTATTGAAGGCACATCAGTTGGAAAGAACACAATGTTTGTGCTGGGCATGTACATTCATAGTCAATCACCTTTTTCCTTCAACTAAATCAACTGTGTGTGACATTAGGACTGGGTATTCTACATCCCCCACAAAAAAAAAAAAAAAAAAAGAAATTTACTGCTTTAAGGCAACAAGTTTGAGAACTTTTTATTTAAAAAAAAAAGAAGAAAAAAACCCATCCGATTAGTTTCCTTCATTGTAAGCACCCTTGCAATCACATTTTATTGTCAAATAGTGAGATTAAAACCATAAATACATTGTAAATTTCATAAATACAAGATGCAGATTATTATTTCCCAATACCCAGCCTCAGTTTTAGAATCACTACAACTAATCTACAATGTATCACATTTCACAGCAATATTAAATAGCAATTAAATTATCCTACAAGATTTATTTTCCAGTGTATAGCAATAGTTTGTATTGTTACTTTTTACATGTTATGACTGTTGCAAAAACATTTGAGTAGGCTGGGTTAAGCCTTTGTGCTACACAGTTTAGGGGTGTGTGAATTACAGTGTTTCATATGACCGGTTTTCCAGACATGAATTAAGTGCAATACACTTAGACCACATCTTTCCCATTGTGGTGCATTAGGACAGAAAAACACTGCCTAAATCTTCTACTAGTTCAGCTCAAACACCAGCTGCATGGCAAAAATCTTTTGCTTTATTTTCTACCTGACCACTGAGAATAATTAAGCTGTCTGACTTTCTTCACCTCTCTTCAACAAATCTGAAACAGAGGGTTAGCAAAATCTTGCAAGTTCTCTCCAAGTTTCATTGATTCTGAACCCTCTGTCTCTTCTTTATCTCAGTCCCTTCCAAGTCCTTCATGCAAGCAACCAGGAAATCGCGGCACTTAAGAGCATAATGCTCAGGAAAATCCCGGAAATGACCAACATGGGGACTGGAAACAAAATCAAAACTGTCCACCGGGACGCCTTTCTGCTTCAAACTCTCCACAAAGAGCTCAATGTCCCTGTGCCTGATCACCTGGTCAGCTCTGGAGTACAGGTAGAAATGAGGCCAGGCGGGCGGCCTCTCCTGCACTGCGTCATAGTGGTTCTTGTGGATATACTTGGTTAAAGGGTACAGCACAACTCGCAACAGGAAAACAGTCACTGCAAAAATGGCTAAGAGGATGTACCTCAAAACAGGGTTTATTTTGGGCCCCAGGGTGGCCGTCAGTGCACGCAGGGCCCCGGGGACATTCCCACTACCTGGGGCACTGTCCACTATGGCCCCAATTACGTAAAGGGAGCTGAACTGTTTATCACTGTGCAACAACTCAATAATGTAACGGTACAGCATGAAGCCTCCATTACTGAATATGTGAAAGACAATAGGGCTGTTCTCCACCTCATAGTCATAGAGGATCTCCAGCAGCTTGAGGGCCGTACTGCTCAGCTCATTGTAGCCAAACGACTCCGAGATAAAGACCGTCTTCAAGGGAGCTGTGTAGCGGATGGTGACACATCCCTAAAAGTGAAAGAAACAGAGACAGAAAGCAAGTCAAAATGAAAGAAGTACAACTTGTTGACAGGTTTGTGCCTCTTCTAAAATGCAACAACGCTGCAGTAAACACAATGTCTTGTGAGAATATCTTATTTAGTTTTAACCTGCTCATTGTAGATGGAGCTGTATTTGGACAGGTGTTTGTCTTTGCAACCAGCCCAGCCCAGCAGAATCACAACTGGCTCCTTTGTCCCCTGCCAGTGTCTCTCTGAAAACAAACCAGACCATAAAGCAGCGTGGTACCAAAGCTGTCACAGCAAAGCGTAGCTTCATTAAGACAGCAGGCTAAGCTAACAGTCAGCAGAATTACATTTTCAAGGTTTCTTTGTAAGATAATGTTAGCATGTACGCTAAGCTAACTGAGGCATGAACATACAGTACAATGAAATGATGCTCACCCGACGTCCCTGCATCTGGGAACACGATGTTGTAGTCTATTTCATGGTCTGCCATTTCTGTATGCGGGAGTATCAGCTGTTGTTCTCTAACGTTAATGTTTGGTTCATTTGGCTGGTGTAAACAGGATGATGGACAAGCTACAGAGCGCTGAATTTAACAGTGTCAGACATGTTGGTCGGTGGACTGTCAACCTCCAGTCACTACAGTCTCCCTTCCCTGCCCGAGAATTTCTTCTTCTTCGTGTTGTTGAACAGCAGGTAGCATCCAGCTAATACCGCCCCTCTTCTTCTTCTTCTTTGGGATTTTACGGCAGTTGGCATCCTTTGCAAGTTGCATTACTGCCTCCTTGCTCCAACACACAGTGTTTTTTCACTTGGTCCAGACTAAATGAACAGCACTACAGGTGTGTAAGCCCCTTTAGTGAGTGGGAACTACTGTATATTTTTTTTGTGTGACCTATAGGCTACTTACAGCCACTCACACAGAGAGCAATTCAACGGCATTATTAGCAACTACCTTGGGCTGCCCATTCACATTATATGTTCTGTTATTCAATCATTGTACTGGTTGTGTATGATTCTAGTTCTGGACGGTTTGATCTCCTCCAGATAAACCCAAAGATGAAATAAAGACAAAAGAATCATTGTCAAAGAGCATTGGTTTATTTTCCACAGGAAACCTTAGAAATACTTGCTAGCTAAATCAAAAGGTGCCTCTGCATTGCAATTTATTGCTGGTTTTACAACTGACAGTCTGAATGCCACCCCCTCAGTTTGATTAGAAGGTCAAATTCCCTGAAGACTGCTAAAAAATAACAAATATGGGGGACATTTTATCTCCCTAAATTGACATTGTCAGACTTAACGTTTTTGTCAAGAACTTAAACTAACCATTATGACCAACGTGTTAGCATGCTAATATCTGCTAATAAGCACTAAAGATAAAGTACAACTGAGGCTGATGGGAATGTTTTTTTAGAAGTGTTGAATTAATACTTAAAACTGTGCACCTGATGTTCTTGAGTAAAATTAAAGGGCTCACCAAAGTTTTTCAAATGGCTTTCTAACCAAAATTTCAAGATATTTTTTTATAAACCATTGGCGGTAGTAGAGGAAAAGTCTGGATAACTGAAGTCAGTAGGATTAATCCTCTGGGGACCATGAATGTCTGTAAAATTTCACAGCAACCATCAAATAGTTGTTGAAATAATTCAGTCTAGATCAAAGTGGTGGACTGACATTGCCATCTGTAGAGCCACACTGCTGGCATAGCTAAAAAACAAAAATATTGTGAACCTGCACATGTATACAGTGTATTTGCCATGCTATATGAAAGTATTCACACTATTTTCTCCCTTCCCACACAATCTCCATCTTCTGCACATGGGCCTTGGACGATTTGGAGAAAGTGCTTTTAACCACGTTGAGAGGAGCTGCCTTGCCACTGAGGTAGACCTTATTGAGACACATAGGAAGCCACGACTGCTCCTCCTCCTCCTTGTGCTCCTTCTCCTCTACAGCTTCCATTTTGTCCCTCTTGATGGAGGCATATGAGTAGGCAAAGATGTATCCCGTCATGAAGGCATCAAACCCCGCCCGATGTGTTCCTGTGTCAGCTTTCTTCTTCTGATCGTCAGCCTTAGACGGGTGTTCACCAATTATTCCTCTCCCTCTGTCTTCTGTTCTGCTTTCTACAACATCGTCTGTTTTGGTTTTTGTATTTTCGTCATCATCAGTTGTGGTAGTTGTTGCGGAGTTCTTGAAGTCTGTATTGTCTTCACACACCATGTTATCTCCTTCATTCTGTTTGGTGTTTCTGTCACTGTCCATTACAGGTCCACTTTCTAAGCATGGCTCAGCCCCTCCTTGGTCATCTGGTGTTTCTTCGGGATCCACCTCCATGTGGGGTATTTTGTTTTCAGGGGCACCATCAAAGATGGAAGAGCCCTCACCCCCACTTCTCTTCTTGTTTCTCTGTCTCTTCCTCTTTTTTCTCTTGTCCCCCGTGACTTTCTCGTCCTGGAGAATGATCAGGTCAGTGTCATGAGATAATGGACACTGGTTACCATTCGGACACCAGCCAAATGCCTGTCCGACACATAAAAACAGAAAGGAGGGGTTAATAAAAATATTTACACACAAATAGTCTATTTGGCTTGTCTGTTCGAATAGATACAGAAACACTAAACCTTTACTTTAGGCACTGAAAGATTATTTCTTATTAGTACTTCACTTGTTTAATTTTACTTCAATTTGAGAATTTTAGTAAAACAGAGATTCTTTTAGGTAAAAAAACAAACAAACGTTGAAACTCACAGAGAAGCGTTCGCAGATGTCAGTCTGTCCCTCGGGAGACGCCACAGCTGGACACGCTCTGTAGTCCACATAGCTGGACATGTGACCTGCATACTGACAGAACTCGACATGAACATTGAGTCCAGCCCCTCCAGACGTCACACTGCGACTGTTATCCAGCTTACTGGAAAGAGGAGGAAATGGAAAAGGATTATGATGTTATTTTTACACAAAAGAACACAAGTACAATAATGCATGCTGAGGTGTTCTGATATAGAAAATAATAAAAACATTCTGCTCTGCTCTTCACTTCAGCCACATTCATCATTTTTCTTACATTGTGAGATATTGTACATTATGATTGACATACAAACAATTAAATTCAAAACACTGTGGATGTATGTGTTTTTCTTAATTACTAATTTTATAGCTGAGGTTAAGGACACTTTCCAACCAGTTATTGTCCTTTTGACAAGGGGACATAAACAAGCAAATAAATGAAAAAGTTCAATTTGTTTTAATAAAAGAGGATTACAGCATCAATATTCGCTGATCTACTCTATGCAGGCTTGTTGGGTCTACTTCATACCACTCATTTGAACTCTGCACTATAAACCAATACTCACCATTTCTTATAGGCATACTCCAGATAGGAGGCAGTGAGCCGGAGCTCAAATTCAGTGACATATTTGGTATCATAGATGCCAGCAGGAAACATCTCAGACAGGTCGGCCGTGAAGGTGGCCAAGCGCTCGGGCAGATGAGCATAAAAACTCTGGTAGAGAAAGACAAAATCCACTGCATTAAAAAACAGTCAGCAGCATACTGTGAGAAGGGCGTTACGGTAAAGTCAATGTCAATCATGATTTTTGTTGATGACTTTTGAGATAGTGTGCATTCTCTATTTTTCAACAGAGCTAGATAACCACAGGTAAATAACTAGATACCATCTAGGGATGCAACATTTTTTAAATTGTTTCATCTATAAAATGTAAGAAAATATAAAGAAAATGTCCATAACATTTTCTCCAAAACCATCACATGTTTCTGATCCACAGTCCAACTCCCAAAGATATTCAGTTTCAGTTGTATTAAAAACATGTAATCTGCAAATCCTCAAATTGGAGAAGCTGGAACTAAAGAACATTTGTCACTTTAAAAAAATGACCTGAACAAAAAAAATCAATCAAAATAGTTGATTAATTTTAATAGTGACTGACTAATCGACTAATCATTGCACCTCTATTACCAACAAAGACCTGGTAAGATAATGTAAGCCTATTTATTATTTATCTAAATGGAAAAAATTATTATTATTATTAAATAATTATTATTTTCTTTATTTTAAAGGCAAACAGTAAAAGAATGAAATTGAACAGCAAACATAATAACTTGGTGGTACCTGATAAAGGAAGGCCATGTCGATGAGTCCATTGTGGAGCACCAGGGGTTTCCTGGCACGCAGCAGTTCAATGAATAAGGCACGGATATGGACGCCACGGTCATCTGATCCTCCCTGACAAAGAAGGAAGAGAGAGAAAAGACAGCTAGAAATCAACATCTGAGAAAGGTCAAGTATCTTTTGCAGTGTTCTGTTATATTGGGTCTGGTAACATAACATTCTTGTAGGTCTGTCTACTTGTGTCTGGTCTATATACAGGATGTGTCTGTCATAATGTGTGCATCTTGGGATGCATGAAGCAGAGAAATGCCAATGATAATTAATCTGCATTCTACCATATCAATAAACAAAAAAGAGCACTCACAATAAAGACAAGCTTAATGAAAAAGCACCATTTTAGAAATAATTTATTCTAAGAATGTAAACATAGCGGAGTCCATATTCCATATATCATTATAGAAGACAGTATTTTGTGGCTCCAGAGGAAGCTCAATTAAGTTATTAAGTCATTACTGTCATTAACTGTTAAGGATGTTATCACTGAATAATAAAGTAATTATAATAATAATTTTAAAATCATGCTACAAAATCAAGGATTTCCTGTTTCCAAAATAATAATGATCAACTGTATGTAATAATGGAACTAATGCAAGTTAATTGTGTAACGCTGGACACTTCTCTCTCCACGGTCACCATCTTGGCTATGTAGTGTAAGGGGAGGGACCACCAACCTAACTTGTAAAAATGGCAGTCGGGGAAGCTTTAGCAGTTGCGATTGTAAAAGTATGTTCATTTTTATTTATTCTTAATAAAATTGATTTGAAGTCAAGTGATCAAGCCTGCAGATTTTTTGGCAGGTGACAATCGCGGCCAAGCGTTGGCGATAATGATCTAATCGGTTACAATTCACCATTAAGAAGAAGAAGCTTTTAAATATTGCGATTGTCATTTCAAGTTAGTGCACAGCGGCTGTGTTCGATTTCAGGACAAGGTTTAGAAACCACAGCATGTATCATCACCTTATTATTGCCCTTGTAGTAAGGGATTCCATGGGCGTACTGCTTGTTAAAGTCAAATCCATGCTGTACCAGGAACTGGACTGACTGAGGCTCTATGATGTACTCCTCTGAACACAGCAGGGTGAGGTTATACACCTGGACCAGGTATGTGTCTGCAGCCTGGGTGAGGTGGGATAAAAGAAGGAAGAGGCAGAGGATAAACCTCACAGTCATACCACATGACCTGTTAAAGAAGTCTGCAGTTGCACATTAAATGTAATGAAGATGTGAGAGACAGATCAGATACTCACAAACCATGTAAGTATGTGTGAGAATTGTCATTCTCCTTCTAGTGTATGTCAAGCTCATCAGAAATATATAATCGTCATTCATTTCATTTACAGTATATGGCCAAAAGTATGTGCACAAGTTTTTTTGCATCATCTTATTGTACCTTGTAGTCCAGTTTCTTGTAACAGGCAATTCCCAGGGAGAGGATGGAACGAGATCGAGCAGCATGGCATATGGCTTTATATCTGTCCTCTATAGATCTGAAACATGACAGTGAGAGTAAAGGACAACTTACAGAAAGATACACTGACATGCAGTAAGAGATGGCATGGCACTGACTCAAAACCATATTCTACATGCATGACTTCTTGCACGACTGTTTCAGAGGACCACTTATGTTTTTACTCACTCGGCCAGCAAGGATTTCCTGTTTCCAAGACCACTCAGCTCCTAAAAAATACATGGACCACTTATTAATTTTCTTTTTAATCTGTGAAATCATGATGTGACAAAACAAAGAGGGAAGGTATTTGAAACAGACAAGCATACAGACAGTAAGACAGACAGTGCAGTTACAGTGATGGATGTGAAGAGTCTGAAAGGTGGAGGTTAGACCTGCTTAATTAAGATATTGGTGAAGGGAGGGATGAGTTTTGTATGCGTGTGTGTGAGATTTAACAAATCAGTGTGTGGAGTAATGAATATGGAAGGTTGGGGGGAAAGAAAGAAGGGAAAATAATATTAACCTTATGCTAATAACAAATACATGCTGCAACAGCAACAATGATAATAATAATATAGTTGTTATTACCACTATCATCAGTGAACAATAAGGGATGTGCATGCGCAGGTAAAAGTGTCTATAGAAACTACAAACTCATACAAACAGCCCTGGTTAGAAAAGAGAACCAAAGAAAAACAAGAGAGAGTAAAAATCACAGACTGTACAAAAAAAGGTGGCCATATTCCAAATGTTTTGTCCTAAAGTCTAAAACTGGTGGGAAATTTAATCAGCAATTCATCTAAAAATACATTTTTATATTCAGTTGTATTAAATAATGTTATGCCTCAAATTGGAGAAGCTCAAACCAGAGCAACATTTGTCATTTTTGCTTTAAAAAAAATTACTTGAACAATAAATCAATCAAAATAGTTGTTGATTAATGATAAAGTATATGGTTTTGTCACAGTATCCTTAAAAGAGGCACAGCTTGGTTTAGGGTTGACCTTAAAGATGTAACGTTACAGTTTGTTCACATGTTGGACCTGCTCATCGGATCTCCCAATGCTCACACTGCTAACATATTAAATAAGAGGGGGAAACTACGGCTACTTCCACGTACGGCAGTCTGACAGACACACACACCTTAACTTACCGTGTCCACTGCAACAAAGGAAGACGTTTTAATGGCCACCACCATTGCAGGCCAAAGCTCTTTAAAATTATCATTCTGAACATCAATTACTGGAACTACCAGTGAAGATGCCATGTTTGTCTCAACTTAATTTATGTAGTAACTTATGCAAACTCCTATTCGCGCCTTTTATGCAGTTACCGACGGCTACGCGGGAATATTAGCTCTACCTTGCAAAAGTTCTCACTGTCAGCGTCTGTACGCGGATGCCTAACTTGTTATATTATCTTCATATATTTGGCTTTTAGTTTAACTGTTATTAGCACTCACTCGAGTCGTCAGCTAACAGCACCTCCACCGTAAACATTTCAACGTGCTTCTCGGGGGTCCTGTAACTTGGTAGTTGGACTATTACCTGAGCGCAAATGTAATGTAAAAATGTTTGCCCCTAAATGTACGCACATATATTTCAGAATTGATGGATCTGTAATTTTTTTAATCGGAAAATGTGTACTTTTATGCTATGATTGTCCTTCTCTTTTCGACTGTTTTGCTCTTCAATAAAGATTTCAGTCAGGCGTTTGCGATAGACACATATAAACGATACGTCACTGTACTTAACTATCGAGGTGAAGTGCGCCATTTTGGCTCCAACAAAGTCAGAAACATTTTCTCTCTGGTAAAGTATTTTAACTTGTATGCATGAAAGACGGTGTAAAAGTCTTTCAGGACGGCACTCGGGTTTCCACGAGATAACATTTAACGCAAATATAACTTTTTCTTATTTTTACACCGCGTTATAAAAGTATAAAAGTAATGGTTACAAAGCTCAGCTGAGCTTCATTTGCCAGCCAAGCTATCTTAACGTTTGCTAAATTTAGCTTTGCTGTTTTGTTGTGACTGTTGCAATGGGTGGCTGCTCAGCTCCAAACTGCTCCAATTCAACCAGCATAGGTAAACAGCTGTTCAGATTCCCCAAAGACCCTGACCGTAAGAAGAAGTGGGTTGTGAACTGTCGACGTGACTTCGAGCCAACTCCTCACTCCAGACTCTGCCAGGTAAGTTTACACAGAGACTGGCATGTTTGTTTGTGACCTAACAAGACGATGCATTGAGCCCAAAGTTTAATTGAACAGGACAGACATACGAGTTTTATTTGTTGATCATTATCATTCTTTAACGTTACTTTTCTTCTGCCACCTCTGAGCTTTGCACTCACTGTATGCGTGTTCTTGTTTCTTCTGACCGGGTGTGTCAGTAGAAGAATAAAAATGTGTATTCCTGTCTTGTTTTCTCAAGGACCATTTTGAGCAGAGCCAGTTTGAGGAGATAGCGAGGTCTCCAACAGGGGGAAAGAAGCTGAAGCCCAATGCCATCCCCACTCTGTTCAGTGGAGACCCTACTTACCCTGCTGTCACTTCTCCATACATCTTGCTGTCCATGAAACCTGAACCAGGTAATTCTGAATGTGCAATGGCATTTATTCTTTAATATTTTATTACAAGTGGTAGGGTAGATGGGGATTGTATTTTTTGGCGACAGGTCCAGTTAGTTTATTGGCCATAGTTCCTGTAACCTGAAGAAGTGTAACCTTTTCCAGAGGAATGTTTAATTTGAATGCTTCTGTGTAAAGTGAAAGGTTTGCTTAAAGTGCCAAAATTCCACAGATTTAACACCAAACTCTGCAGCTCCATGAAGATTTTAAGCCACTTCTGAACTCATTTGTTTTACATTGGTCACAATTACTGTGGGGTTGAGCCTCTGCCCCTCTCATCATTTTGTAGGCATCCATGTCTGTTATCCAGTGGCTGATGGACATAGCTGAGCATTTAGCAGGAGGAAGGTCATGATATATTCTCAGGAATTGGTGGAGACCAAAACAGAGCTAAAAGGAGAGTGAATTGTCAGGTGGTCAGACGCATGAATCTAATCAATTAAAGCAAATACTGTATATTTGGGAAGTATTTAATTGCTTCACTGTGTTCCCCCTGAGGTAAATGTTTTTAACAGGTTTGGCAGATTGATGATTACTATTTAATATGCTTAAAGGCCCTTACAGACACACCGCTGCGCTCTGAAATTCATTATTTTCAGTGGCTTGCACTGCGGCATGGCAGTTTGTTGCTACGTTGAACAAAGCGCACATGCAGCGCTAAGCGAACCCAGTTGAACTTTGACCGCTGTGCGCTGTGACGAATACCCGCGTGGCCAATATCAACCGTTTATATTGTGTGTCTGAATTCCCAGAATTATGACCAGTTTGTGGTTATACAGAGACATCAGGAGGAAAGCAGTATGATGGAAATGTATTTCCAGTAAAGTGGGAACGTCGGGTGTGTTTTAAGTCAGGTAGCTTGGTGTAGGTAGGCGATATGCGTAAACATAGCTTAGGTTTGTTATGTGAAATGGACATATGCAGCATCACTCTTGCATGTGTTTAAACCTGCTTCCTCCAATATGTCCCCATCTCTAGAAAAGAGATCCTCTAGTCCCCAGGTTCTGCCTGCTCAGTCAGCACCACCTGGTATCCCGTCTGATACCATTACTGTTTACCTGATCAAAGTACCTCCCAGTGGCCTGTCTATCCCTCCAGTTCTGGGCACTGATGAATCTCCTGAGACCCTGCCTGACCCTGAATCTCTGGCTCCTGATGTGTCCCTGAAGCAAACATCTACCTCAGCATCCCAGGTCCCTGCAGCATACTGCGCTCCATGGGCTACCCCTGCACCCCCGGCTCCACAGGAATCAATCGAGACACAAAAACGGCAGGGACAGATGGATGACTTTGAGTGTCAGCTTAGGAATGTTCTCAACAAGTCGGCAGACGAGGAGGACCTCTTTCTTTTAAGTCTAGCTCCACGTCTCAGAAAGCTGTCGCGTGAAAAAAGGGGTGAAGTAAGATTAGAATTCATGACAGATTTACACAGGGCTGAGTTTTCCTGAGGAAAACCATGTTCAGTGTATAAACTATGCGTTTAAAAAAAAAAATGTTTTTCCAAATAGAAAAACACACATTGCTGTGTACAAACTTTGCATTTATGTATCAAGACATTGCAAATAAACTATATTAATTTTAGTAATGGCTGTAATGTATATGTTTTTAAGGAGGGTTGATGAGTTGTATGTATTTCCTTCAGGCAGTGAATAAAGTAAAGATAAATGATTATAACAGGTGATGTAAAAGAAAATTTGTTCACATGAAGTGACGTGGCAGTTATGCGCCTAGTCTTTTAAGGTTTAAAGTCAGGAAATGTATTTTCTGTCACATTTCATTTACTATTTATGATAACTTGTGTAGTCTAGCAGAAAGAGAGTTTTCCTGACTGAACTTTTGTTAAATATCTATATACATAATATATTTGGCTATTCATTCGTTTAATGTTATAGGAATCAACTCTTTCAATAATAAGTGAGTGGCTCTTAAAAAGAGCCTTTGTTTTATGTTGAAGAGGTAGAGCCAGCAGCAAGTGAGGGTTGCAGAGATGATAGGTGGGCAACTCAGGCTACGCTGTATTGCCGAGGCACCAGCAGCAGAATTTGAGAGCAGAGTGCAGGCTGGAAGCAACTGATGTGTGGGCTGGAGCAAGACATGACTAGTGGGGCTGTGCCTGCGCTTGCTTTTTAGCACGAGACCTAAACATATGTGATGCTGACTGAAAACTGGGACAGCAAATGAAACACTGACGACGCAGGGTTAGGGTTACAATTATGGATTTATTCACGCACTTAAAAAACATTTATTGAAAGTTTTATTCTTTTTACATATTTATTTACAGCATTAAACATTGAAATGTATATTGTAATAGGCTGTATATTAACTTATTGGGAGAAAACTGGTAGTTCTATGTAAAGTCAGCCATTGAGCACCCCTATATCGCCAATATGGCATGATCCTTGTTTCGCTGTGAAGCTTCGACTGTGAGATTGACAGTCGAATTAGGCTCCGCCCATCGAAGCATCGAATCTTATTCGGGGTCAGCCCTAGTAATATTATTATTCAGTATTTACTGTGCCAAATCATGTAATGCCTGTTAGTTCATGTAAAATGCTCCATATTCTAGCCAGGAAATATAATGCTAGTAGGACATTGCTCTGTGTCTGCAGTGGAGAAGGAGCTGAATTTCGGGGATCACGGATATGCCAGACGCACCCCTCTGGCCGGCCTGGAGGAGGAGATGCAGACAGGACCTCTGAGGACCGGCAGCCCTGCACACAGTGTCAACTCCTCAAGAAACAGCTGGAGCAGGAGATGCAGCACACTGCAAGGCTACAGAAGGAGGTAGGATGGCTGCTGGTGTCTCCTTTCTTGTGTTTTGTTTTTGTCTTTGAGGGGGCAATGTGCTGCATGTGAATATGTTAAACAGAACCATTTAGAAAGTTCAGTGCGTCAAATGTTGAGAGAAAAGTAATAAATCAAATACTTTTTTATTTTTTTTACACTACTGTTCTAACTACACATTAGCTGTAATAATCTGACTTTGACTGTGGGCAGCTGGCAATTTAAGATAAACAAACTGAGAAAGGAAATCACTGAGGGAATGCTCAGTAAATAGCCCCAACAAACTGTCTTCTTCTCTGTCTCTCTCAGGCAGAGGAGATGAAGAAACGTCTATATCGACTCGACCGGATCGAGAAGGGTCTCCAGAACTTTCTGTATGAGGACCAGATTCGTGCCCTCTCCCTCACCAAACGCTCCCGACGTGCCGTCTGGTCTCCAGAGACCATCATGAAGGCCCGAAAAATACGCTGTGCAGTTGGCACAAAAGGCTACGAGTACTTGAGGGAGCTGGGATACCCTTTGCCCTCCTACAGGACTCTGTGTAACCGCCTGGAGACTAAGATCATGATGACGACTGACATGAGCTGTGAGGAGCTGGCAGAGCTGGGCCTGGGGCTCATGGCCACTTGTGACAGTCCCACAGAGGGTGTTGGGGACAATGATGAGGAGGAACTGATTGGTGTTTTGTCCTGATCGTGGCAGCTTGCGTGAATTACTGACTCTAACCAAGGGAAGAATGTGCAGAGTTTGCCGTGTTGCACGTCTGCAGATGTTGACTTCAAGTAACGATGGGAAGATGAAGAAAGACTTGAGCATCAATGTAAATGTATGCTTCGCTTGACAGAGATTGTGAGTCGACTCATTTGCATTGTCACCAGTTGTGCTTGGGATCTGCACCAATAAGACATGGCTCCACTGTTGTGAGATGCTGGGGCTTGCAGTTAGTCTAGCTTTGTGTATGGTGTTTCTTACCCTGAAGATGCTCTACTACAGTATGTGCTGCAACATGTGAGGAGACGTTCGATGTAGTCTGTGACAAAGTGGACTACCATAGTGTGGCATTGTGTGGAAAGTGTAGAAATAATTTGCACAAA